ATTTAGGCTATCGGCCCCTCACGGGCTTCATTGCCGTCTGCGTCTTTGCGTGGTAGATTCAAATCTCCGTGTCACGTGTTCGGGTATCTCGTGTCATCAGTTCCGCGTCAGTGACTTGGTGACTCGGAGTTCGCGTTGATGTCGTCACCGTGCAGGGACAAAAAAATTGGGTCTGTGTCAAGCTCCACCAGGACAAAAAGCATAAACAACAAAAAGACACATGCGTTCGAGTAGTAGTACCGAGTAGCGGGACGCGAGAATGGCAAAGTCTCTGAGAAGACCTCATGACCCCCATCCCCCTGAGTCACGAGCTACGACACCAGCACACTCTTTCTACCATCGATATTCTTTCCCTCGACCCTATTCCTGACCTTGTACAGAGTTATTCCTAGAGCGAGCTCGATCGTGCGAAGCCCTGCCTAACAGCGACCTTGCCCGTCCCCTGGAATGTATGAAGATCAATAAAGTTCCGGAGATACACTCGCAAGACAATATTATAAAGAACCGTCGACCTAGAAATATCAAATAATGAGCTTGGAGGGAGATCGGAATCAAAGCGCGCAATCTTCTCTGCCAGAAGAGCTGCGCAGCTCCACCCGCCAGAGGCACCATGCCCTGAACCTCCAGATCACCCGACGGCTGCCATTGTGTCTGCCACCAATTGCAGACAGTCCATTCACTTACGCCAAGGGCATGATAGTCTTTGGTCAGATATACAATGCCTTCGAGACCTTCCTGCAGACACAGCTCGCTTCTGCCCAGTTAGACCAGCGACTGCGTCAGATTTACCAGCGTGTATGCTTTCCCTGGCTGCTCAGGTACGGCCGGCTCCAAAAGGATATCGAAATCCTGCAGTCAGTCCTCCTACGGGATCAGAATCAAGAACTTGAAACCTTGGACAAGGAATCTAGTGGATTTCGCTTGCAAATTGAGAGATCATTGTCGACGAGACCACATGTCTTGCTGGCCTACACTTGGGCGATGTACCTTGCTCTTTTCAACGGCGGTCGCTGGATCCGAGGGCAGCTGGTGTCTGCAGGCCCGGACTTCTGGCGTACAGGCATAATTCCGTTATCCTTCTGGGACTTTCGGAGTGAAGAGGATGCGGGCGTCGATGGCCGGTTGCAAGAGCAGTTCAAAGAGGCATTTCGGGAAGCAGCATCTTTGCTGACTGAAACCGAAGCGAGAGATGTTGTCGAGGAGACTTTCAATTTGTTCGATATGTGCATCCAAATGGTGGAATTCCTTGACAATGCGACGAACTGCTCGTCTCAATCTGTCCCTGCAGAGGTCCCAGCACTTGTGGCTTCTTCGCAGCTCAAGAATTCAGCTGGCGCCAAGTCGATGGCAGCCTCGTTCTGGCAATGCGTGGTCTCTCTGTCGAAAGGGAAGAAAGCATTGGGGCTGCCACATGATGGGCGCTGAGGATTTCCATTCCTACCACCTAAACCCGCAGTATTCATAGATACCAGTTCGGTCCCTTACCTAGAAATGCACCCAGTTCAACGCTTCTTCAACCCAATTTCTTGAGTTTATTCCTTGCTGAAAACAATACCAAGCACGACACGGGGACGTGAAGCAATGTAGGCAGGCTGAGACGTGCACTGTAATTTATCATCATATTGCACGAAATCTCGTAAGGGCGCTTGCTATATAGTCCACAATGGCTTGTTCGTAGTTAGTGACTGTTTCGATACCATAACAATGGAGTCAAATGAGCAGGAACGCCCATACTATCTCCGCCAGCCGGAGAGTCTGTTGGCGCCGGTTGGTTGGGGGTTGGTGAGGACGTACGGGGCGGTGATGTACGTACAGGCCTACGCCACTTCCTTGTCCTTGGCCATTATTTCACCAACGCCCCGAAATTTCTCTTAGCTTCGCCTGGTGCGTTGCCACGAGAGCCGCTAGGGACGGTAATCCGGGGGAAAAGGCCTGTGCACCGATGAACGCCTTTGTCGGATCTTAAGATTTCTCTAGATTGGGAAATAATCTTCGTCAGTGGGCTAAAGATTTGAACGCTGACAAGATCTAACCATAGCTCCTGCACATACGATTATGTACCCATTTGGGAGATATGATCAGTGTCTTGATCTTTCCCAAGGGTGCGGTCGAAGGGATGTTTTGCGCCCAATGTTGGACGATGGCTCGGGCTGCGGGTACAGTACACGATCAATCCTCAATTACCGAGTATTGGAGTCTGGACCCTCCGAAGTTTGTGGGTGTGCTTGGGCCTCAGCTTAGAGCTTTCGCTAAAAAGTCTCAGCAAGATGATCAGGCTTGGCCGCTCTCCGCAGAAGAGAGCCATCCCATCAAGGACTTGAAATTGGGGCACCGTGGTGGTTGACAAAGCTGCTTCGAATAACGGCAGGACCGGATGCAATCGTAGATGTTTTTTTGGATCATTGTAGAGTGGTATGCATACCTGTGCACCAGCCCGACAAAAGTATATATAAACCAAGTCCTCCTTGTCAAAAGAAGCAGTTGTGCGTTGTCGAGCTCAGGGGTATCCATTTACGGGTTGTCTTGATGTTGCCACGACAGGATTGAATGCATGTAATTCTGGGTCAAGTGCCACCCTCGTCTACAAAAGCCCCAATGCGTCTTTATTTGCTCGGATGCCCGTCCGAAAGAACTTGGTTGCATTTTCTGCAGGGAGACCTTGGTACCGATGGCGAAGGTCGCAGGTCGAAGGGGAACAGCAGGTCTGTGTTTGTGTCTGCCACGCATCAGGACTAAATGGATGGGAGTCACTGTCCAGGATTCAGTGTTCCTATGCAATCTGTCCTTTGACAATTGAAGTTTTCCAGTGTGTCCTGCAATACCTTCCTCGAGCGTTCTTCCAATATTCAGTCCTGGTTCCGCTGGGATGGGCCGTAACACCGATGGATCCAAGCGAGGTTGCAGAGCGCCGGGTGGATTTCGACAGCTGGATAATGTGCCGAATCCGCCACGCCGCCAGTGGTTGAGGTCAGGGATAGTTCGGGGATGTGCAGGGAAAGGTATTAAGCTAGAGAAAAGGAGGACTGGGCTGCTGCAAGTTGACTGGCGTGACTGGGCATAGAAAATTCGACGGAGCTGGCCGCAGGAAGCTCGCCTGCGTCTTTGGAGCCTTCGGAGCAACTTGTCCCAGGGATGGGATCTTCGCTGACTCCTTAGGTGAGCACAGCGGGGAGGAGTCAGACGAAGCTGGAGGGCGGACGACGATTGCTTTTGCGGCAATTGAAGTGCGAATACCGAAGAGGGACGATGTGTTGGTGAGTTGCTTGGTACGGCAAGATCCAAAGTGGCCAGTTGCATGGTTAGCCCAGAGCCGGGTCACTGGAGACGAGACGGCAAAAGAGTTCTCAAGTAGCCTGCCACATTAGTGAAGGGATATTCCTGTGCACGAGTCTTCATTCGTCTCGGAATAACTCTTTTTTAGATTTCATTGTGTATCCTCGTAACTTCTACAAAGGACGACTTGCTTGGTGGCTACCGCTATACGAGATACTATTTAATATGTCTGGAGCTGATAGGTGGCTCGCAAGGGTGGGCTCTGGGAGTTGCCACGTACCCGAGGCCAGAGCACCGGTGTTCTGGAGACACACCATCAGCAGCACAGCGGGACTAAGCCTGCACGGGCCCAAGCAGCTCCCCGGGCGTTCCTCTAACCTTAAACTAGCTGAAAACACGGCACTGCCCTTTGGGTCTCGGGTCGCTTCTGGGAAAAGGTTGTTGCTGATGCCCGCGCTCGCTGTCCAGCTACCCCATAGGTGGTCTGACGAAATGGGCGCCGCTCGATGGCATCCACCGCACCGACAGAGCGGCATGGCTGCCCTCTCCCCACCCCAACACTTCCCTATCTCAGGTTAAACCCTGAAAGCCTCGGTGCCTAACTCCTTGATTCCCGGGCTACATTTCCCCTCCCTGGCCCTTCTGAAGCCCATGGCTCTTGCACCCACGCTTTTTGCAGTTTCCACATGATGATTAGGCCCGACTCGCCCACTTGGACTGGACTTCTGTTGGCTGGGGCACTGGATTCCGGAAGCCTAAGAGATGTAGTTGCCACCCTAAGGGTATGCCCGTTTGCAGACACACGAGACTTACCTGTAGCTGAGTGGACCGTCGACCGTGGTGCGTATCCCCCAGGCTCCTAGGCCCCTAGGCTCCCAGTCTCCCAGTTCTCGCAAATCCTTTTCTGCAGCTTCTCGGTGCCAAGTGCTGCATCATCGTTGAATCTTGTTGCTCCAAGCTCCAGTGCTCAGTGTTCAATGCTCCCTCTGACATTCTCCTGCTTCTGTTTCGATCCCCCATCCACACGCCCGCGCGTGGCTTCTCCTCTTTTCTTCTCTTATCTCCACACAACTTCGCACACCATCCATCCAGCTCTGTCTCTTCGACCCTTTCGATTCTCTTGACCTTTTCGTCGCCTCTTTCTGACCCTCTATCCTCCTCCCTCGTCTTCGTCTTCGCATTCTGGCAGCCGGGTGACCAACTCCGCGACATTGTCGATCGCCCACACCCTCCCACCACCCACCACCTGAGAGCACTGCACCTGCCATTGACGATCAGCACTGATCTTCGATCACACTGGAGACTAGCCACTTCCCAATATTATCGCTGGCCCATCTGAGGTTTCTCTCAACTCTGTACGAGTTACCTCGCACCTTCAAACATACTACTACACAACATCGCATTCCTCCGAAGCCTGACACTTTTATCTGACAGGGCGCCGTTAGAAGTCGACTGGGCAAGTCAATGGACCGCAGCATTGGGAACAGGGATCTCGCTACCCGACAAGTCAAATTCCAATCCACTCCTGCGGAATACCACCACCAATAATTGACGTTTGACATCTCTTCAGCACCCTCGCTGTTCCAATTCCCTGGGTCAGCCGAACAGCCAATAGTCGCATCATCAAGCCACTCGATCTTTGTCCTTCAACCCGTCCGGCCGTCTCGCTGATTGCCTTGTATCTCCTATGACACCATTTCTATCAGGTCATCCATTCCACTCTGCCAATGGAAGGGGCAGACGTACCACCGTTGAAGGAAAAGAAGGGCTTGAAAACGGTTTGGAACAGAATTAAGGACTTCTTTAGAGAGCAACCCACCGCTGCACAACCGGCTGTGTCTGCCACTATCACACCATCTGTTCCCGCACCTCCTGTCGCTCCCCAAATGCAAGCGGCTGAGGAGACTCCCAAATCGTCAGTGAGATCAGATCCCCCAGAGAGATCCTCGCTAAACCTTGACAGGGCAACTCCAATCGAGCATTCGCCTGAACAAGAAACCGTCAACATAGACAAAGAAAGAGATCAGCCTATTGAGCCTGGCTCGACATCATCACAAGAACCTGTTGATACCAAGGACGCCACAGCCGAGTCACACATGCGGTTCACCAAAGCGCAAGCCATCTTTGCCCGACACAACCTAGAACTAGATGAAACAGAATGGGAACCGAGGTACAGAGGCCCACCAGAAAGGGTGTACAAGAACATACGAATGAGGGTCAGATACACCTGTCACAATTGTTCGACGACGTTTGGGCGCGATCGAGTCTGCGTGGGATGCCAACACCGACGCTGTTCTCGATGCTCACGATATCCGCCGAGAAAAGATCGGACGAAACCATCACAAGACCCGACAACAGCAACTGGTCCCTCGAACTTTGTGACCGAGGCTCCTCGACCCGGGGCTGAAGGTGGAACGTGCCATGAATGCCGGACTGGGTTTGAGGCAGATGCTGAAGAATGTCCCAACTGCCACCACAAAATTTGCGAGAGATGTCTGCATGAAGCCACCATTACAGTCGACCCGAGTCACGAAACCGGCCAAGAAGCATCTCAAGCCGAACAGGTGACTGAACAAAGGAAACCCACTCTACAAGACTCACCATCTGGTAGCTAGCATTGGTCACTATTCGTTGCCCGGTGCCATTTGCATGCCAGGGCGTGGCCTTCCCCAACATACTCATATTTGACATTTTTCCGAGCATTTTGATGATGCGATGACGACTTTTCTACGACTACCCGTCCTTTTCTCGATCTGAGCGTTCCAGTCCTAATTACCATGGGTTGGTGTTCACGGTGTTGCGTTTGCAGGATTCCCCGTTTGACAGTGCTTTGATCTGTTTGGAGCGCCAAAAGCGAAAATGGTCGCCTGGAGTTGGGAGTTTTTTGATAGGTCGCTTCAGTTCCCTGCCACTACCAGAGGGCTGGTCTTACATTGGAAGAGAAGAATTTCAGGGTCTACGGGAAAGCCGAAAACTGGCAAGCCAGGAAAAAGAGATGGGTGATTAGAATCTGCAGGTTCTGACGGTACCGTCGTACAGCAGGAGCAGGGATCAAGGGGTACCATGGAGGAAGGATATAGGGATGGACTGTTAGGGCAATGGTGATTGTTGCTCGGCAAATTGGACGGCGACTCTGCAACCTCGACCTGGACCTCTTTGCGAGGCTGGTCTCTACGATACAAATGAAGAAATAACAGCGCCACTCCACCGCTTACACTATCTTTTTCTTCGTGTTCTGTGTTTGAGTCTTTGTTCGGCTGTTACTGGGAACCCTGTTTATGCCACCGTTTATGACGACGACTTGGTCCCTCGACCTTTGATCTGCATAGCGTCTGCCCCGGGATCCTGAGCCGGCACTGGATCCCCACACAGCGGCATGGTGCTCACTGCTCACGGTGCAGCAAACTACTGGTGACGGCTCCAGATGCTGTGAGAACTCAAGTTCGCCAAAGACGTATGAGAGTGGCTCACTCGGTCGCTGCAAACCCTGCCAGGCTGAAACCCAATCCCCCTGTCAGCATTGTACTTGTACATACCGAGTACCTCGTTAGTTACGGAGTACAGAAACGTGGGGGTCCTTGTTGTGCTGAATGTCAAGAGGTCCAAGTTAGATGGGCCATGCAAGCACGTTTTTTTGGTTCCCTATTTCAAATCTTTGACCCTCTCGTGGTGTTTCAGGATGGCACCGCAAAATAAGTGGTCGGCCTCGACGTGAGCCACCACTCGGGACTCCGCGCTCACGACGAGGGAGGAATGGCCGTTCTGTGTCCTCGGTACTCGGACGAGGTGCCTCGTAGTGTATGGAGGTACATACGATCCCGGTCGTGTGCGCAGACGGACATTGTCAGGGATTTGCGGTGGATGTCTCCGTCGGGGGGGTTGGCCCAGACGAATAGGTATGCTGTAGGCTCTATGCTACCATAAAGATCAATCACTGCTCGGAAAGACGTGACGGAATACCAAGTATGTCCCTCGTACTCTGAGGGTACATGATGTACCGAGTACATGCTAGAGCCACTGGCGCTGACCACCCCTCAACATACCGATTATTCATTCTCTTCCTAAGATTTCACATCGACGCTGTTCTCCTAGCGATGAGGAGGGCGGAGGCATGGAATGGGATGGGATGGAACGGCCCTGGGGGAAAGTGTGTAGAAGCGCCGTCAGAGTCCATCGATCAGTCAATCATTCAGGCAGGCCGACAGACCGACAGACCGACAGGCCGATAGGCCACTCAGCGTCAAATTTTCAATTGACTACATAAAATCAAGTACGAGGCACTCTATACAGGACTTGTCCTTTCGATCATGGATAGATAGGGCTGTCACGGGCTGCTCTCTCTACATAGTACAAGTTACGTAGGCATAAAAGTCACCAAATACACACACATCCTTGGCAATATTGGATTCCAGGCTCGGTTGTGAATTGGTGAATACCTCAGGCAGCTTGAGAGAAAGAGGAGGGGCCATGATGATTCCCACAAACACAAACTACCAGAACAGGCAATGTGTGCGACCAGTGATATCGGATGATTTCTCGGTAAACGTCCAGGCCCAGGTACGGGTACAGGTACAGGTACAAAGTATGTATGTACCGCGTAGTCCTTCTGAGTACAGTAGGTGAGTAAGTACGAGAATTGAAAATCTCAACAAAGACATGGGTGGTGGAAGGGTCGGCGCGCGGCCACTGGCCTGTCAGCCTGGAGACCCAGGGGCCCGAAGAGGTATTGGGCTCGTGCTCGTGCCCGTGCTCATGCTCGTGGGATGGGAGGGGATACAAGGACAGGGACAGGTACCTATACCTGTACCTGGCGAGTACGTAGTACCTCCTTGTACCAAGAACGAGTAGTAACTTCTACAATAGTCCACTGGTATTTGTTCCTCGAGGCGTCGAGACTGAGTGACTGGCTTCCTCGGATGTGGCTTGGCTTACCGAGACGTTGGCCGTCGGTCTGTACCTCGTACCTACCAAGCTACCTACTCCATACAAGTAATAGTACAAGCAATAGTATTAGTAGTGGTCGTTGAGGATGATTGATCTACCACGTTATCACGTACCGAGTGCTTGTTCCGAGGATCGAGTTTGAGTAGTGTAGTTGGTCGGGTACTTGTCCATTGTGGCGTTGTCAGGCCATCAGATCAGCCTTCTCCATCCACCACCAATGCGATGGGAGGGCCGTACCAAATACGAGGTACACACGGAGTATCATTACTACCAGGACGACCGAGTTGGATGATCTGCCGAGATAATGCGACGAGGTACATACCTACTAGGTGTACCCGTACGAGGTACTTGGTATAAGTTTGTACGACGGACCCCCCTCATCCAACGTGGACCTAATATCCGGAAGCGAAATTTTCTCAAAATGGGTACATTTTTCACAACGGCCTCTGGTAATTTTACCCCCCGAGGCTTTACTCTGTACGGTTTGTACCTAGAAAAATATTACATGGCGGACTCTGAAACGAGATGCCCGACGGTTGAACTTTTTGGGAGGGGGGAGGGGGAGTGCATCTTCTCAAACAGGTAATACCTCAATCGGTGCTGAAGAGTCTTACGGGGGAGGATACATATAATTAACGGCCGTTAGATGACTATGTACTTGGATAAACAAGATCCATCGGACAAGACAAGGACCAGATCAGATCAGATCATGTCAGACCACTTGAACCCACATGAAGGAGTTTGTTTAGGTAAATAAGATGATTTGACTCCTTTACGTGTGCTTGCCTCGATTCTTGTGCGGACGAATACTTGTCCCGAGTGACCGCGTACAAGTACGCGAGTAGTACCTAGTACCGAGTAGTCTGAAGAGATTCCTCGGGATCAGAGGTGATCTGTAACAACAAGGCTGCGCAAGGATGCTCTGATAGCAGATGTTTCAGGCACCTCAATGACCCAACGGGATGCGATCCCACCCGGACCCTAATTATTAACTCTAGTTTCGGAATCGAAAGGAGATCCGAGTTCTCTACCTAATACTAATACTCGTAGTCCAAGTACTCAGTTGGTACTACTTCATTCGGTCTTCCTTCCTGCTACAGTCCATACGACCGGCGCCCTTGCCCTTGCTCTACCGAGTACAAGTAAGTACCGGTACACTCCGCAAGTACAAATAGCGTCTTTGGGATTTCCTTCCAAGCGAAGCGAGATGACCTGTGCGCTCTTCTTTTGTTGTTTTTTTGGGCGACCGGGGGGTCCTCCGTTGGCGCGAGAGTGTACCTGGTCACCTAGCCTTGTACCGAGAGACAATAATACCTACCTACGGAGTAGGTACGAGATAAGGGTGCGGATTACTCGGTAACTCTGTGAGGTAATAGTGCGATTGACTGACTGATTGACACCTTTCAAAGACCCGGTGTGTGGTTCATCATTGTGAAGCGACGGTGTAGTGGCACTTGCACCTCGTCCTTTGTGCTCGTATGAGTATCTAGACGACGGCTTTGGTTCGATCTTGGGAAAGGATCACCCGTGCCCTGTGGTCCCTCCCTCTGTCCCTCTATGGGTGCCTCCCATCTCCCCCGTCGCAGCGTTACGCTACGAGGATGATCAGGATGATCACCAGCTCAGTGGAGTTTTGCTCTGTTACTACCTACTCGCTCTCTCTTTGACCTCGTTGGTCTGTGCGCAATGGGCAGTCACGCAGTGTTCCGAGGTACCTATGTACCTTCGTGCCTTCCTACCTACCTTCCCAACCCATGTACCGAGTATGCATGTACCTATGTCCCTCGTACTCGGTTCAACGACAGGGCAGGCATGGACCGCAGACGGACCGATCCTCCCGAGTTCCCTCCCGCTCCAAGAAACTACTTGTCAGAAACCCAGTCACGGTCCTCAACGTGTTTCGTCAGGGCGGATCCAGAGGACCGTGTATGCAGTGAGTCAAGTACTCGTACCTAGGTAGGCAAGGGGCAAGGTAGGGGATAATCTCGAGACCACACCTCTTCAGGACGGCGCTCGATCGGAGATACGAAGCTCTACCTGTACGTGCGAACCACGAGAAAGAGACAATGAAACGGATAAAAGTCCCGGGTCTGCGAGTACAAGGCATTCGAGGCATCAAAATGACTCGCCGACCAGGGTCCCCCGTCGCGACTATCTTCTCTTTCTCGTTTCAAGCCTTACTCGACTGGTAAAAGGTAGGGAGTGGGTATTCACACCAAGAAGAAAGTAAACAAGGATCGCCCGCGGCGCCAGGACAGGATCATCGTGATCCGCGGTCAAGGATCTTCTGCTGCTCATAACGGCCGCTGCTGGTCAAGACTCAAGACTCACGACGGATTCGAAGCCATCAGACCCCGCGTCATTCCTCTCATCTCGTCCTCGCTCTCCTCTTCGCTCTCCTCCTCCGACTCTTCTTCGCCAGTCTCTTCACTCTCCGTCTCTTCCTCCGTCTCTTCTGAATCCTCTCCCTCACTCTCTGCTAGCCAATCATCGAGAGTTCGGGGCTTCGCGTTGGCCTTGGACGTCCCCGCCGCAACCACCTTCTCCAGTCCACGCTCCTTGACGGCTTCGTCCAGCCTCCGACTGGCGGCGACTGAGCTCGCCGTCCTCCCCTCCCGGGGCAC